CTCCTCTTGAACCTGGCTGCCCAGCTCCCTGCCCGTGAGTAGATAACTGAGGTCTGCCGGCTCTCCACATAGGAATACGACTGACCCATTTCCTCAACACAGCTATAGCTAGTACTTGGGATAGGCCAGTGGCTCCCCAGCCACTGTCCCCACCTATGCCTACTCCATTTCTCTTTCCTCAAGGTGAGGACAAATTGATCCTCCCTTGGGAACCTTTCCCTGACCATCTAGGCCTGGGAGGCTCTTTTGGGGCGTTAATGACCCGTATTATAGCACTTCATTACTGGCATTGTTAACCAATAGACATATATTAATATTAAACATGCGGATTTTACAGAAAAAGGTCCTTTAATGAATTAGCACTTTTTAACATTTCAAACACTTTGGATGGAAATCTAACATTTATTTCATATCTTCTCTCTTCTTAAATAGAGTACTGCACAAAGAACAGCCGTCTAGCCTTCTACAGCTAAGGCCCCTTGCATCCCTAGCTATTTTCCTGCAATGTGCAGTGTGCCAGAGGAACAGCTGGCAAAAAGAAAGGGCATGTGCTTTGGAATTAAAGCGTCCTCACAGTGACCCCTTTGGTGGCCCCTGGGGTCTTCCTGAGCTTTACTATTTTTCTAATCTATAGTGGGCTCAGGAATCAGATAATAAAGTGAATTAGAATTGTCTATAAATTAGGTGTAAATAGTATCTAAGTGAGGGACTAGAGATTCTCCTATTTATAAAGTCTTCATCCTAAAGCATAGACTTTGCACAATCTATTTTGTGGATCAGAAGCCTTTCTTACTAAACCTTTTTTTAGGGGGAAATATTCATAATTCTTGTGGTGGGTTAAGTAACCTCTTTAAAAAGTATGCCGTTAGTGCATTTAGCATTTTACGTATTATCTTTTGTTGTTAACTACCTTTATGTTATGTGCATATATCACAACTTTTCAATTAGATTGTTCACTGGTTAGGTTATTATCTTCCCAGGGACAATTTTATAGTCATTCATTCTGCAGCAGACAGACACCCCTTGGGTGTCCTCTGACTCAAATCAAGTCTGACACTACCTACCTGTGCAGCATCATGTCTTACAGGTTGAAGGCTCAGTCCCCAAGACTAAAACCACTTCAGATGACAGTTGCAAGTCCAGATACCCAGAACTTCTGACCAACTGGCTCCCACAACCCCCTCATCCTGTTTAATTAATTTGCTGGAGAGGCCCATAGAACTCAAGGAAACACTTATATTTATTAGTTTATTATAAAGGACATTTTAAAGGATGCAGATAAACAGCCAGATGGGGAGATGCACAGGGTGAGGTCTGGAGGGGTTCTGTCTCCACAGAGATGGAGTGCACCACCCTCCCGGCACATGGAACATGTTCTTCTTCACCTCCCTGGAAGCTTCCATGTGTCAGGCTATCTAGAAGCCCCTGAACCCAGTCCTTTTGGATGGAAGCTTCACTGTGTAGGCAGAATTGGTTAAATCACTGGCCATCCACCGATGGCCTTAACTATTCAGCTGGCCTTAACTATTCACCTTAACTATTCAGCTGGTGTCTACCACAGAATTGTTTGCTAGCTTAGTGTATGGGGAAACACTCCCACACATTTGGTCACAGAAGTGTTCCATGTTGTGAGAGTATAGTAGGAAGAAACTGAGTTTGATTTTTCTTCTCAGCTATCCACTAAAATTTGTCCTGTCTGCCAAGACCCAACTCAAATACCACCTGTGCTGTGGAGCCTTTCCTAGGTCTCCCAACCAGAAACTTCTCCTATTTTTATTCCCATAGCACTCTGAATTTTTATGCTCACCTTCTTGCTTTGTATTGGTTATTTGCATCCTATCTCTTCAATAATGTGTAAATACTGTGGGGTGAATGCTCCAACCCTCTGAGCACCCCCTGACGACCAGTCCCCTCTCAAGGGTTATCTAGGCACTTTCCAAAATTCGCCTCATTTTCATGAGCTCAGGTGTGGTAGAAAAGGGTTTATAATAAATAACAAAAGACTGTCTTTCACCTTTATCTCTCTGAAGCTGTTTCCACAGCTGCTTGGGGAACCAAGGACAAAAGACCAAACACTAACAAAAGATATCCTCATTGCTCTAGTCACTTAGGAAATAACAAGGCTTACAGGAGCTGTGAGCCAGGAACCACCGAGGCTGAAACCCAAAACATAGACATAATACCACAGTAGCATTCCGGGATTTGGGAACGCTGTGAGAATAAGACTGCATGCATGCACACATTTTTGGAACACAGTCTTGAGAGCACCCAATAATAGTATTCCACTTCCCAAATTGAGTTTGAAACAAATGGATTCATGAAACAATGGAAGGGCAGATGGTGCCCACAATATTACCTTTATTACTAAGGCTGAACTGGAAGACTGAACTTTAGGCAAAAAGCAAATGAGGCTGAACTACTTGGTGACAGTCAACAAGAGCCAGGGTAGCCCTCTAGCTTACACAAACCACCACCCAGCTCCTCGGAAGTTTTCCACTGCTTATTTTCCCAACTTGAAGACTTAAGATTGTTGGATAAAAATGAACAGCAAATGGCATTTGAAGGTGAACTGTACTTTAAAATAGTTTATTTTGGACTACTCCTCTTTGCCACAAAAGCATCGAATTGTAAGGTAGCTAGACATAATAACCTAAAGTGAATTAGAATTACTTTCTATGAAGACTCATTGAGGATCAGTATGCTACATTGGGGTTATTTGGAAACATTATAATTAGAATGGGAAATCCCTGGCCTGTTTGAACTTTGAAGGCTCAACATTTTAAAGACAAGAGAGACATATTTTTATAAAGCTCTGCATTTCTGCACCTGAGGACTGATTTGGGTGGACAGACTGCTGGCCTTGGCTGCCTGGGTCAGCAGCATCTGCCCTCAGGAGCCCGCTGAGAGGCTTGGGGTTGGGGACAGATGGTCTGGGCCGCTGAGGGGGCAGCAAAGCCTGGTGGCTGGAAGTGGTGAAAATCAGCTACACTGAACATATGGATGTCCTCTCAAGGATGTGTGATATGTGGGGGAGAAAACTGGAAACAGAGGGGATGAGGAAGAGGTGGTCAAGGGGACTGAGGGCTTCTGGGGGCTAAAGTTCCCTGACTAAGGCTACTTCAGGCTGGGCATGTTTCCCACTCTACTGCCCACAATGCCCCTGCAGACAACCCTCACAGACTTAGCACTTCATTATACACTGCTCTACTCAATAATTCTGTCCCTAAACACATTTGGGTCCCAGCTGGGTTAGCATGGATCCCTAATCTTACCAACACAAGACTACTAAGTTAAGAAGAGTGCAAATATTCATGAAAGTAGTTGCCAGTTGTTCAGTGCCTACTGGGCATGGGCCACTCACTGACTATCAGCCTCACCACAATCCTGCAAGGTGGACATTAGCATGCCCACCACTTTTCAGCCAGGGAAACAAAGGCTCAGAGAGGGGCATACCTGGTTGAATCAGCACCAAACCTTCCACTCCCCACCTGCAGAGATGTGCTCTTCCAGCAGTTTCTAGGGGACTGGGGCTAGGGGTAGTGCCTGCTCCTTAAGGGGAGGAGGAAGAGGCTGGCAGTGGGGGCCTGTAAGGTGTTGTGTGTGTGTAGTTATTTTTTGTGGGGTCAGCTCCTGGGCCACATGTGAGCTGAAGTGCGTGTTTATGGGCTGAGGTGTGCCTGCATATGAGGACTTGTAGGTCAGTTCTTGGAATGTGTGTATGTGTGTAGGAGGGTTGGAGAATTAGTCCCTGAGCCGTGTGAAAATGTGGGTTGGAGCTCTGGTGAACATAAATGGGCTTGGATTTTGTGCATGATTGTATGTGTATGTGTATGTATGTATGCGAACTTGAGATTGCAAGTATGTTGGGGCGCTGAGGCTGGGTGTCAATCCCTGGGTCGTGCGTTTATGATATGTGTCTCCCAGAAGGGTGGGCACTGGACTGTGCGTGTCCGTGTACAAGTGTGTGTGTGGGGGGGTGTCATTCCCAGGCCCTGTGTGTATCTGAGTGTGACTGCCCTCGCCTCCGCGTGCGTCCCCTGTATGTGGGGGAGGGGAGGGCACTGGAGGGCCGGGGGACGCGGGCCGGCCCCGCCCTCCGCTGCAGGTGGGCCGGGCCCGCGGCGGGGCGGCAGCGCTCGCTGCTCTTGGCTCGCGGCCGCGCCGGGCTCGCAGGGCTGGGCTCGGGCTGCGGGGCGGCGCCGGGACAGGAAGCGGAAAGCAGCAGTGCCGCGGCGGCGGGGCTCTGTCTCTCCTGGAGCCCAGCGCAGGCCGCAGAGCCGGGGCCGCTGGGAGCCGAGACCACGGCCGCGGAGCCCGCACGGCCGGCGCGGAGGTGAGTCCCGCGAGAGGCCGGGCGCGGCGCGGCGGCGGCCCCGGGCAGACCTCCGGCGGGAGACGCCCCCACCGGGACCCCGCGCGCCCTTGCGCCCTCCGCCCGCGCTGCCACCGCCGGACTTAGATCCCGGTCGACTGGCCTCCAGCCTCTGGCCGGAGTGCCCTCTCCTGCGGACCGCGCCGGTCGTGCTTTCCGGGACCCCACTCCGCTCCGTGCCTGCGCGCGCGCCTCCTGCCCTTGCCCTGCGCTCTCCGCCGCACCCCACACTCGCTCGGGTCCCAGGTTCCCTGCCCACCCTCGGACGCCCCCTTCTCCCCCGGCCGGCCTTGGGGGTGCGCCCCTCGGGCGTGCTTGCCGGGGCGGCGGGCGGGCGGGCCGGCAGGGAGCGGCCGAGCGTCGGTGGCGGCACCGCGGCCGTGCGGGGCGGGGGCCGGCGCACCGCGCTTTCCGTCTCTCCGCGGGGTCGACCCGGGACCCGCCCGCGCCCGGGGACCGCCTGGCGCTTCGCCAGGCACCCGGACAGAGCTGGCCTGTGTTCACACCTCGCTCACAGATTTGAGCCGGCCCCGGAGGCCGGGGGGGCGAGTCCGGTTGCGCGTCGGAGAGCGCAACAGGCAGGTAGGAGTTTACTTTCAAAAACGCCGGGGTGGAGCGGAGGCGTCCTGCGAGTCTCTGCCCGCGGAGTCCCTGCTTGAGGGACTCTCGCCGCGCTGGGGCAGCCTTCGCCACCGACAGGACCTCATTTCCTCCCGCAGCCTTTGAACTGCCCCAAGCATCGCGCCCAGAGAAGTGTGAAGCTTTATAAAAATTTAAACGCGTCTGCGGCGGAGGCAGGAGTGGGGCGGAGCCGTGGCCTGGCTGCTTGGTGATGAGCTGAGGAGACTTGGAGCCGAGAAATCTGTTGCTCAGCTTTCTCATCTCCAAACATGGTCTGCCAGGTCTGAAGCCTACGCCGAGAAGGTGTTGTGAGCTCGCTTAGATGCTTGTTAGGAGGTGTTAGAGCGCTTTGTTATGATGATTGTGTGGGCTGGCACGTGCATTTTGTTAAAACTCTTTTGACCCGGCTTTTGTTGGAAATGCATGTTGTATTCTTGGACACTTACTCCCGAAAGCTAGCAAGCTGTAAGGAATCTGGCATTTTCACTGACATGTTTATAAATTTTACAGGGTTGCTGAAAAATATTATAACTTGTGTCACCAATCAACAATGCTAATTAGCATTCTCCTTCCAGTGGGTGGGTTGTTTGATTACACAGCTCCTAGGCTCTGTAAGTGAGATGGCAGAAACTGTCTGAATCCAGGGAGACGTAATTAGCTATTTTATGTAACCACTAATTATAGAGTTTTTAGAGTTGAATTAAATCAATGTGATATATTTGGGGCTTTGATTTGTGGGAGGAAACTGTTTTTTTCCTACAGTTCAAAGAAGTAACACACTTCACCTGTGTATGTGCATTAAGCATTCCCAAACGCTGGTGTCTCTCGATTTAATTAGTGGAAACGCTTGGTGTGAAATTTTACTGTTAACAATGTTGGCAGTGTAAAAATGGGAGAATTTTGTGAGTGGCATATTTGTAACGATGCTTGCCAAGCAGTACATTTTTATTATTTTATGTATCCCGCAACAGGACAGAACTATAAAGGAAATTTAGTTTCCTTCGCAAGAAACAATCCCACCATACCCTTGTCTGTTGAACAATAAATAAACATTGAGTGAAGACTGCACCCTCCCCCTTCATCCCCCTAACACACATATCCTAGACTTCAGCTATTTAGATTGAATGGGCCCTTATCACATTGTGTTTTAATTGGAGGTTTCCACCTTTGGGCGGTGAGCTCCTTGGGAGCTAGAACTATTTTAGATTTATTTCTTTTCTCCTGCACTCCCCACAATGCGTGGGACACCAAACCTGTGAGTGGGAATTGAAATTGCATAATTCTTTGTGGGGTTATGTGTGGTTTAGGACAATTTATGATTGTTGCCTACCCTTCTCTATGTAAATAAACAATTCTGGTAATTGCTACCTTGCTATACATTTTCCGTAGCAGAGGGCACAGGTTCTGGAGTTAGACTCTCAAAGTTCAAGCCCTGGCTCTAGCACTTACCAGTGTATGAGCTTGGTTTCTTAACTGTAACATGAAATGAACATTTTATTTCTCTTAACGGCTTGTTCTGGGAATTAAGTGAGACATTACATGTAAATACTTAAAAACAGTGCCTAACACATAGTAAGCACTTGATAACTATAAGCTGTTAAGACTATTATTACCATTATGTCTCTATAAAGTCAACTAGCTGGTTTGGTGTGTGATTTGGGCATCATGCTATTCTATTTTTCTTAAGATGAATAAGATTAAGCGGGCTTGTGGCTGGACCATGCTTCTGTTAGCAGTCTTGGTCTTGCTGAAGTTTGATGAAAGGGTGCATGTGAGTCTGCCTGCTGTCTGTCTCTAGCAGTGGCCTTCTGAATCCCACTTACCGGGCAGTAGTCCTTGGACCCAGCACCATTGGATTTACAGAGGAGGTAGCGCTCATGAAATCTATTTTTCTGAAGTTTAAAAATCTGTCAGGGGACAAGGGAGTCACTCGAAAGCAAATATGCTCATCAGAGCACAACAGACATGTTAACCATTCACAGCTCTTCAGAAATCTATAGCAAGCTGTTGGAGGTGTTTCAGAGGTAATTAGTGACTGGAGTCAAGAGCAGTTATTCTAGCAAGGTTAGTTGAAATCATTGGCAAAACAGGTAAAATGAAGTTGACATTTTCTTTCCTTGTGAGTAATTACACAGAATCATTCATTTGAAAGAGTTTTGTTGTAATAAAAGAATCGTTGTGTTTGTCACACGTGCCACCAGCCCTACAGACACATCAGGTGGATAGTGTCTTATGGACCACAAGTTCAGCAAAATGTTTTATAGACCTTGCCATACTTCTCCACTCCCTGTGCCTCTCCAGGTACACCTGCTAACACACACACAATTTTCTCTGATCTCTCTGGCATTCGCTTCCAACCTGGGGGCAGTAAATGGAGGCCTGCAAGGAACAGAATGGAAATCACTAAATTACTCAGCTGTGGTTAATAATGGTCATTACAAAGGTATTCTTTCTGAGGGAATTTCACTTTTCTGAATAATAATAATGGTTGACAGTTGCTAATGATCTTTATGAATTGTCTCATTTAATACCCACCACAGGCCTAGAAGTAGAATTCTGTTGCTACAGCTAGGGAAACTGAGGCAGAGAGAAGTTAACTTGTTCCGAGGTGACACACAGCAAGTACAGATAAGACTGGAGCCAGGATTTGAATGCTGATAGTCTAACTCCAGAACCTAGTCTGTTTGCTACTCTTCTCTAGAAGAGCTGACTCTAAACAAAATCATTTAAATTGTCATTTTCTCCTTCAGTGCCACATAATTAAAAATGGGTACCTTAAGAAAAATGTTAGCTTCAAGACAATATAAATTAATGGAGTAAACCTTCTGGAATTCTATGTATGGTAAAAATTAAATATTCAAGATAATGTATACAGTGTATATAAACACAGTTGTACAGGAAACTTCTTTCCCTTGGAAATACATCCACTGCAGAGGGAGTAGAATGGCCCTTTAAATTCAATGTGTCTCTGTACTCCTTGCAAGATAACTTGCTATCCTCTAAACCAGAGCTTAATTACTCAGTAGCGCTAGGCAGAGCTGTTGATGTGTTTATAATTTCCCTTTCATGAAGGCTAGCTTATGTTTACTACTGTCATTGACATATTATTTCCTTCATATGATTTTCTGAACACTATGTTTTTCCTTTAAGTAGTAGTCAGGTATATTTTATGTGAGCGAACTTGACTTTAGGGGAAGGTTCTATTCAAGGCCACGGATCTTCACTTTGCTTTTAATAAAGGGTGCTGAAGGACGTCCTTTCTGACATTTTTGCCTGGGAATTTCAGAATTTAAGATACTGCCATTCAGACAGAAGTACCCCTTGCACCTGTTTCGCAGTGTTCTCCTTGCCTTCGTGTGATGTGGTTTGATGAGCTGGCTCTGTCCTGGTGTTATCCAAGTAGAGCCTGTGGCTCTTAAGGGGTGGGTGACAGGTGGGACGGGATGCCCTTGGGTGGCTGCTGAAAGATGCTGCTGCCAGTTTTTGCTTAGTGGGTCTGAAATATAAATTCTGCCTCCGAGTGGGTCTGCCGGCGAGCCAGTGGTATATCTCTATTCTTAATAGTTCTGACATCACTGCTCTATCTAATCTCCACATCTTTTTTTCACCTATAAAACTAAGGATAAATAATCTCTATGGTTTCTTCCACAGTGAATGTATGGCCTCCATGTCCTGAGACCTGCCACAAAACCCTTCATTCAGCAGACGTTTATGGGTCTCTCACTATGTTCTAGGAGCTGGAGAGACAGCAACGAAGGTGCTCCCTGCTCCCATGGAGTTTACAGGAGCCAGGACAATAAGTAATCACACAGATAAATGTATAATTGGAAGTTGTGATGGAAAGTAAGAGTACAGGGTGGTGGGAAAGGGCCTGGTTTGGATCTGAAGATCAGGAAAGGCCTCTTGAAAGAAGCATTATTTAAGTTGAGAGGGATGAGTAGGAATTTGGCAAAACAGGGCACGTAAAGAGTGGGTACCAAGCTGGGCGTGGGTAGCTCAAGCCTGTAGTCCCAGCTACTCAGGACGCTGAGGCAGGAGGATTGCTAGAGCCCAGGAGTTCAAGGCTGCAGTGAGCTAGGATCCCACCATTGCACTCCAGCCTGTGTGACAGTGAGATCCTGTTTCTTAAAAAAAAAAAAAAAAAAAGCATGCCAACAGATATACTGGGCTCTGCCTTATAGGACCTGGAACTAGAGGAGGAAGAGGGAGCTGGAGCAGTGGGCAGAGCAGTGCATACCAAATGAAAGATTTTGTATTTTATTTAGAGTGCAGTGGAACACCAGGGAAGGGTTTTAAGCAGGGAAGTGATGTCTGCATTGTAATTTAAAAGGTCACTGGGGCTGCTGCCTGTTCTGGTCCAAACATAATATGGGTCATATCAGCATGAGAGAGAGACAGCTCCAGATTCTAGGATCCATATTTGCACCTTTGCATGACTCCATCCCATTCAGGCCAGAGCAATGGCCTATGGGTCTGCTACCCAGGGAACCTGATTTCTTTTGATTACTTTACTATCTTTTCTGATAAGGGATTCCTTCTGACTTTGTCAGGAATTCTCTTAATTTCTTATATGTGCAAGGAAACTGTCTCATAAATATATCATTGCAGTGATAAGCTTTAGGATATGCTCTTCTGCTAAGTCTGTTGAAGCTCTCACCTTGGCTCAACCTCTTTTAAAATGCAGTCACTCTGAATTTTATTAGCTTGCCTCCTGTGGCTTCTCCTTAATTCTCAATCATCTTGGATGGGACAAGAGTTGATAGCTATGGTAGAAACAGTATGACTTAGAACAGGGGCCTAAACTTCCTTCTGATGGATTAAGTGAGGAAACCAGGAGGCTTTGCAGTAGGTTACCCAGTGCTGATGGAGCCTGGAGGACAGGTGGAATTAGTGACAGTGGATGTGTGGGTTGAAGTGGGGAGAGAGCACTGAAGATGGCACAGGGTTAGGTCCATAGGATCGTTACGGTGGTGGTGTCACCTTGGCAAACGAAATTGGAAAGAGTAGGCCGAGATACTAGAGAGCACCTCTGGGTAGTGTTGGTAATCCCAAGGGGAGCACTGGGAATTTATCCTTTCAGTGGGTATTTGTTGGGTGCCTGTTATGTTCAGAGTGTCCCGGAGCCATAGCTCCTGTCTCCAAGGAGCTTATACTGTAGTAAACCCATGGATGGAGATGCACAACGCAGAGAGATTTTGAGTGTCGAGGGTAACTTCATGGGGAAGAGGGAAGGGAATGTTGGAGAAGTAGTGGCATAAGTGCCATCAAATTGGAGGCTAGCCAGCTGTAGCGAGAAGCTCTGTGAGGCCAGGGAGCATGCTTTTGTCACTGCTGTGCCCTAGCACTGCTGAGTGTGGCCTCTCACAGCTGCTTATTAGCCACAGAAGTGGATGAAATGAATACAGGGTTAAGAGGGGCGGGAGGACGACAACGAGGATGTGACCTTTGGATTTGGCTCACAGCAGTCTCTGGCTAACTTAAGAGTTGTTACAAGGGAGTGTTGAGGATAGGGGTTTGGGGTGACAGTCGAGAGGGAGGGAGTGACAGCAGATCCACCCCTTTGGTGAGTACAGGCAGGAATTGTGGGTGGGAAACCAGGACAAGGGTGGTTGGTAGAGGTAGGTAAAGCCTTTCCCCAGAGGGCACTGGGGAGCCCATGGTTTCCTTTGAGGGACATGCCTGGAGTTGCCTTAATGGATAGCTGGAGGTTTTAATGGGGATGAAGAATGACGTCCTCTGGCAAAAGTGGAAGGAAATGAAACTTGGGTTATCATATGCCAGACACTTTACCTCCACAGTCTCCTTTAATCCTCACAACAACCCTAGGAAGAGAAATATTAAAGGACCTTTTTTTACAGGGGTGGTAAATAGAAGCTGGGGGAGGCAAACACCCAGGTTTTGCAGGGCCAGCTGCCTCTCTGATACCCCAGCAGCATTTAGCGAGAAGTAGCTAGAAGTTGGGATGCAACAGGGAATCAGAGTTATGGGTTGGAACACAAACACTACAAGAAGTGTAGGACCTGTGAAGGGTTAATGAACCCAGAAGAGGACACAGTCAGTTTTTTGGGCCAAGTAGCCAGGCATTAGAATCTGGGGAACAGCAGAGAGCTGGGCAAGGGACTTTCAGGAAAAGTGTCTGAGTTCACAAAGGGCTGGAGATCTTGGTTGCTCCTCCTAATGTTGGTGTCTGCTGGGTATGAAGCAGGTGAGAAAGTAGCAAAGCTCCGAGCAGAAAGCAAGTGAGACTCAAAGGTGCTGAAAGCTCATTGAGATTGCTAGTGGCAATGGTAGGAGAGAGAGTAGGGACAAAAAGGATGAGCCAGCTTTTGAAGTGTTCAGGAAATTCTAGGAAAGTGGAGATATGTCCAGGAGCAAAACTTAACTTTTTAAAAAAAATCTCTGCTATGTTCATTTTTACATTTGATCTTTATAGTCACCCCCTGCCACGCCCGAGATAGGCTGCCTTGTTTCCTATTTATGGGACAAGAAACCTCTGAGGCCCAAGGGGAAACCACCTTGCCTAGGTACACAGCTAGTTAGGAAGCGTGGAGTGAGATACAAGCCCAGGTCTGTCTGACTGCAGGTGAGCCACTAGCTCTCTGCTCTGCTACTTTCTAAGCTTTTCTCTTATTGAGAAAGACAAGGAGAGCATGGGGTTTTCATAAGTGGCAAAGAGAGTGCTGACTCCACCGGCTTTCATTTAGCTAGAACGTCTGGAGCCTGTGCTGGGCGCTCTCACCCAAAGGAGTGGTTAGCTCCTTTAGTCTTCATGGCAGCCCTGATATTTACATTCTATAGATTCATGTTCAAATAGCTTTAATTTGACTGAGGTCCCATAAGTAATAAGTAAGCAAAGCCTGAGGTTGGAAACCAGCTTTAGATACTGTGTCTGCTTATATTTCCAGATCAGTGAGGAAACAGGCTTAAGAAGGCAAAGTGGCTTATCCCAGGTTGTACTAGCGAGTGGCTGAGCTCAGCCTAGGACCCAGGCTTCCCCATGGCTAGCTTTGGGCTCTCCATAGCAGAGATGTGAAATGAAGAGTCAGGACCTCGGGACGAGGGAGGCTAGCCCTGGTAGGAAGACTGGGGAAGTGAATGTGCCTCACTCCCAGGCAGAATGAATGGTAAGGGCAAACACGTCCTGACTGGTATTTATCTGAGGCTCTGGAGGCTGAGTTGGTATGTCCCTGAGGCCTGATTCCCTCCAGACTTGTAGCTGGGGTCAGAGAAACTTGGCCTCCTCCCAGTAGGGGTAGGGTATGGCATTTGCAGCTCTTTTGTTTTTTCTTCACACTTATCTCACTGGCTGTGTTTGCAGTTTCTGCTTCCAGGGGCCCTGGAAGAATGAATGTTGTTGGCCTGAGACTAGCTCTGGGGTGAGGGGTGTAGGAAAAGACAGAACTTGTGGATCTCAGTTTTCCAGAAGTAAAGGTTTAGCATGTGGGAGCTCAGGAATGTACTTGGAAATGTTTCCAATTTATTTTTATTGCAAAGCAATATCTAATGAAAATGTGGGAAAAGACCCAGGAGCCTGCAACTAATAAATCACCTGCTTTCATTTTCTGTGTCCCCTAAAAAATCTTTGTCCTTACATAAGCGATTTTATATGATTATAACTGTAATGTAGATTCACTATGTATCTACAATTCTGTGTCCTGCTTTTAAATTTTTCCATTATATTATAAAAGCTTCCCCTCTTCATAATTACCATTTTAAATATTTATGTGATATTTCTTTGGGTGGATGAACTATGTTTTCCTTAACTATTCCTCTGTTTTGGGCATTTAGATTGTTTCTAGCGTTTTACTATTATAGACAAGGAAGTAATAATAATTTTTCTTTAAAAAGAAAATAGTTTCCTAAGATAAATTTCCGGAGCTTGGATCCTGGATTAAAGAGACAGGGAATTTTTAAAAATTGACATTTGGAAATAATGACCAAATCCCTTAAAAGCGACTTTTCTGGGCATTGTTTTTCTAACCAGTGAACTGGCGGTGGGGGCTGGGCACTGTTTCTGGGGCTGTAGAGGTGGGAAGCCACTTCCTACAAGCCAAAGCTGGTGAGTGTGCTCAGGAAATGGACCAGTGCCCAGGTCTCTCCCACCTCCGGTTTTCTTGCTGTTGTGGGGGAGTTCGGCTTGCTCAGCACCTGTCCTGTCTCCCTCCCAGACACCCGAGGAAGCTTGTTGCTGCATAAGTGGAGCATTTAGAGTTCAGATGCTTCTTGTTCACTTTGCTCACTTGTTCCATAGCAGAGACTCCAGAGAGGAGGTTGGGGTTATGTCATTTATCTTTCAGCCCCATTAAGATTGGCTTTGAAGATTGACATCTGTTTTTCTCCTTTTTCCCCAGAAGTTGTTCCTGTTGATGTGTGGCTCCTCCTCTGATTCCCAGACTCCTGGAGGTTTTATGAGTCTAGTAGGTGAAATTCTCTACCTCTAAGAAGCAGTATCTGCTGCTCCATCAAGCCAAGCCCTGCATCGCTATGGATACCGAATCTACATATTCTGGATATTCTTACTACTCAAGTCATTCAAAGAAATCTCACAGACAAGGGTATGTAAGCTATTCATTATTCCACTTTTCCTTTTGGGAAAACCTGCAGGTTGGTGGGGGATTTCTAGCCTCTTTTCAAACAATGACTCAAGTGCTGGAGGTTCAGCCCATTGGCTTGTGAGAAGCCGAGCTTTTAAGACGGTTTAACATGCTTGGGAGTAACTACACTAGCAATTTATATTTTATAGCCACCATTAGAGTTGATGACCTTAATTTCTCACAATTAATTTTAAATTAAAGTTTCTCCCTGCAGTGGAAATGTTTTCTATTTCTAAGTACTTCTCATAGATGTCAGTTCTCTCAAAGTTTTACCAAGAATGTAAATGAAAGTTTTAAAACAGTGTTCATTTGTTGTTGCTTTTCCCCCAAAGCTGTTGACTCATTGTCCCTTATGCCTTTGCCTTGAGGCTTATACTGAACTGGTGGGCGTGGCCTGGCGCCTTATTTCTCTTTGACTAGTTTTTACGTGAACTAGCCTTGGTTTTGAACATGCTGTCCTGGGTGATGGGGGCAAATTCTCCCTCCTCTGCAAAATGCATAAGTCTGCACTGGTATTTTCTTAGGGCCTGCTGTGTTACTGACCTATGGAATGTTTGCTGAGTAGAGGAATGAGTGAATAAAGAAATCAATGAATAAATAGGTGGTGGTGTGCTGCTTAGGAATGCAGTTGGTCAAATTATAATGCTGCCACTTACTAGCCTCCTCATCTGTGAAATGGGTACAGCATTTCCCTCCTTACAGGGCTGCTAGGAAGATTAAATGAGCTTATGTGTGTAAAGCAGGCAACACAGCACGAGTAGGTCCCTAACCAGTGGCTTTATTAATGCTTTGGCATTATAGACCTTAGCATTTCAGCTACATGTTCCAAGGGACCAACTGGCCCCAGCCCAGTGCCCACCTTTGAGCACAGCTCTGCGCTGCCTTGGAAACAGTGATTTTAGAAGTATTTCCCTGACTGAGCCATTCACCATACAAGCAGCTGAAGGCAGAGTGGAATTTTGTTTTTGGAAACAGTAATGAGATATGCATATCTAATTTACCTATTTACACACGGGCCTATGCAGATGTGCACACATAGAAAGAGGTCTGGGAGGGTATTTTCCAAGCCAGGAGCAGTCATCCACCGCGAGGGGGCTGGGCCAAAGCCGGAGACTGACAGGAACTTCGTGTACACATTAGCGAGGGGGCTGGGCCAAAGCCGGAGACTGACAGGAACTTCGTGTACACATTATCTTTCTGTACTCATTCAGTTTTTTACCAGTGTGTATTTTGTAATTTTAAAGAATGAATGGAATGAGGTGTAAATGAAAGGTTTTCAAAGATTATTTGATAACATGAGAAAGTGTTTATGAGACCATTTTATGAAAAACAGGATTCAATATTTTGTACGTTAGAATCGTTACATATACAATCATAAGATGAATATTAACATACTGACCATGCCTGTCTCTGACTATCGGATTATGGGTGGTATTTTCTTTTTAACTTCCATTATTTTCTAAATTTTTATGTATTGCTCTTAAAATCATAAGAATTTGGGGGAAAGATGTCAATGAGCTTGTTCGGGAGCCCAGGATGGGAAATGGAAAGAGTTAGGGCCAGAGTCCAGATCCCGAGAAAGTCAGAAACCTTCTGTGATAAAAATTTAGTCACAAATTTCAACCAGTGGGTAAATTTATCAGATTTTGGCTTAAAATAGGAGAAACTTATCAGATTTTGTTTAAAATATCAAATATTTGGGCTTAACTGGAAAAAGCAGTTCCCTTGTGAGTGTGCCAGGAGTCCCTCATCTACACCACATGGCAGAAGTAGGAATTTGGGGTTCTCTCGGTGCCTGGGGATGAACAGAGGAGGATGGCTTGCGGTACTCTGTGTGGGGTGTTCTGTGTGGGAACCGTCCCTGGCCTCCTGTGTCTATATTCGTGTCCCCACGATCTTCACGCCTCGGGGCCCATTACTACGCCCTGCTGTTTCCTTAGGCCTCTTGGGCCCTCAGACACTGACACTCCAATGCCCTTGCGGTAACTTTAAGAGACTATAACTTTCAATTAAAACAACATGCAGAAAGAACTCTTAGTGCGTTCTTGGACCCATGTGGAAAGTGCTTGGCGAATGTTAATACGAGCTGAGACTTCCAGTCAGTTAATCAAGGAATGTTACTGAGCGCCTCCTCTGAGGACAGCTCTCAGTGAGGGGATGAGCCTGGGAGGTTTGTAGGTGTGCTCCCTGGGTTCTGTGGTGGCGAATTGTCTGGCTGGAGGCCATGGAGGGTACGTCAGCTGTGGGGGGAAGGTTGTCATCCCCAGGCATCACGGCTGCGGAGTGCTTTCCCAGGGGGTAACAAAGGTAGCAGTAACAGTACCCTCCAGGGGCATGAGCGCAGGCCCTACACCCAGCCCAGGGTGTCGGCTCCCTGGAGTGTCCCTGTGAAGGCTGCTCTGCTCCGGGATTTGTTGGGAATTTGAAGAGTAGGAAAGCGGGGAGGGGAACCTTGCTTTTTGGTCATTTTAGTAGAACTCCAACTCAGACAGGAATAGTGAAATGCACCAAACTTGATATGCCTGATGATACCGTGGTCATCTTGGAGGACTGGCCAGGTTCCCAGCAAATGACAAGTGACTCTTTTTTAACAAAGAGGTCAGCGGCCTGATTTCGTGATGCCTGCATTCTCCAGAGGGTGTCCAGTTAGCCTGCCGGGAAAATGGAGCAGACTCCCGCCGACCTCATCTCACCTGTGGGTGTAGAGCGTGAGCGCCCTGATTTAAACAGAGCAGCTCTGCCCTCACAGTCCTTATCTCCTGTCCTCACAGCAGGCCTAGAAAGGCGGGAGGTGGTAGCCCCATTTTACAGGCGCTGAAATCGAGGCACAGAGAGGCAGTGATATTTGCCTGGAGTTCCAAGGTTAGTAGGTGCTCTCAGCAGGTTTTGGGCCTACCTTGTTTCTTTGGAAGGGAAATGCCACTTTTGAAAAGGGAAGTGAAAGGTACCGCATGTGACTAATTTGCTAAAATGCACAAAAAGAGGCGCCTGGGCAGTGGAGGAATCAGTGGCTCTGCCCCGAGGCTGTCTTAGAGTGTGACGGCTGCTCTGTGCTGGCCCTCGCACCCCAGGAAGCAGCCCGCCAAGCCTGGCGGGCAGTGGAGAGAGAGGACAGGTCGTGGGTGGTGGGAGAGGAGGAAAGGGAGGAGTCACCGGTGGGGCTGCTTTCCCCAAACAGAAATAGAGGAACAACAGAAACGGGACTGAATCATCTTCCCAGGAAGTGCTGGCTGTAAGTGGAAACGGTATGGGAATTCCAGGGGTTCTGGCTGGAGGGAAGGGGCTACAACAGCCCCCAAGGGCTCAGCTCTAGACTCGCCCAAATGGGTGCATTTGCACACACATATACACACGCAGTACAGACACATGCCCGGGCCTCCTGCGTGCTGCTGCTCGCTTGCCCCACCCCTCAGACACACAGATAAGCAGTGCTTATCTCTACTCACACAGGCAGATGTTGCAGGGAGCCAGATTGGGAGATAGAGACTCAAAGAAAGATTCCCGTGGCTGACGCAGCTGTCTAGCAAAGGCACACAGGTATCCAGACCACTTGGGCAGAGTGAGAAAAACACACAAGTGTACTGTGTTTATGACACCCCTGTCCGTGCTTTGGTAGCCATTTACTGCCCTGGTATCCCATTTCCATACTCTGAGACACCAGAAGCTGATTGTCGTCATCACCAGGGCACCCTCTCTCATCAGAAGGTGCGTAGCAGCCTCAGGTTTTCCCTGCAGTTCCAGCACCTGGAGCACAGGGACGAGCGTGTGGGTACCTGTTGCAGTAAGGTGGCCACGCTGAGACTCGTGGTTCTGTAGACTGGTAAAGCACTGAGCAGCAGTATTTTTGTTGGATGTCACTCTGAAGGCCTGGCTTGGCTCAGAGACCTTCCTGGAGTAGTCATTTAGGACCAGGGATTTCTAATAAAATTTTCTAAGAAATTTTTCCAATAAAATGTGTCTGACAGGTCTTGCTCCCTTGGTAACAGTACAAGCAGCAGCCCCATGCCTGGTGCAGCGCTAGTGCTGAGTTGATGGGACCTGCCACACATCTGCCTTCACTTGATAGTGGCTGGGAGGCTCCGGGCATGATTGCATGCTGTCCTGAGCCTTCCTCCCAACTCCGTTCACTTAACGCTATTTTAATAAAGAAGCACCGTGTGTGGTAACGTTGTACACCTGAGCATTACACTCATGGCTCCCATCATTGAGCCTCTGCTGTATACAGGGCATCTTACTCATAGACTCCAAGCAGCCACTCCAGCAGCTTCTTCCCCAGGAGCATTTGTGTGGGAGAATCTTGAAGAAATTTACTGGACCACCTGGGGTGCTGGTGGAAAAATGTAGATTTCTGTTGTCTCCTTCCCAGACGTGTTCTTTGAAGGTGGGGCCAACGAATGTGCACTTGAGCCACCCTGGGTGGCTTTCCTGCACATTTTTTTTAAGTTTAAGAAGCATTTAGGATTTCAGGCTCTGGAGGATGAGAAACCTTCCTTGGGTTATCAGATAATAGGTTCTTGTCTGGTTGACCTTAGATGTTACCAGGGGAATTGTTAGACAGTTGTTTTGCATTTGGGTGCTCTGGGCCCTTTAAGAGCCAGGCTGGGAGGGTTGGTGGTCTAGAGCCCTGGCTGCCACAGAGAGGCTGTTTCCAGCCCTGGATGGCTTCCCACCTGCTTTCTGCCCTGCTGGTGTCCGGGCTCCAGGAATTGGCACTCAGTGAAAGAATTCTGATTTCCAGTGGAATTTGTGCTGTCACAGGATTTGACCTGTGGGACTAGTGAATAGCTAGATGGGTTAGGTGAGCATGTGACTTGGATGGTGGCCCAGAGCTGACAAATGTGAGAACGGTTGGGGAAAGTGGAAATGGATTAAGGTAGAAGATGGGGCCTCATCCATCTGGCCGAAGGTGGGGCGGGCAGAGTAGCAGTCTAGACTTAGCCTGATGCGCATTCTGAGGACATGGGAAATCTCTCCCAAATTGTTTATTGTTTCCCACAGTGGTTGCCCTTTGAAGTGATTGTCTTTGACAACCCTGAGTGTTGGGTGCATAGCTTTGTGCTAAGGTCACAGTCCAATCAGGACTCCTAGCAGTAGCTTCAAAGGCATATTTCGTAGCTCTAGCAGTTTCTCGGGTATATTTATGCTATAAAATTTTCCTATTGCTCTTCAAAACATTACCCCATAGTGGGTTTGGATAGAGGTGGTGGCAACAGACTTGGATTCAGATCCTCCTCTGCTACTTACTTTGGGGAGTCACTCAAACTCTGTGAGTCTTCATTTCCTCATTTGTAAAATGGGGACAGTAATATTGGCCTCATAGTGTTATCATTAGGATTGAATGAAATTAGTATAATAAAACACTTAGCAAGGTGCTCTATAAATTGGGGTGGGGGGATGACTGGCATTATTAGCTACATCTCTAGGTAACACCACCAAATTCTCTGCTTACTTGATGGTTTCCCTATCTGCCTTGTTAAAACACCTGAGTTGACCAGAACACACCTCTTTCTAGAGTCTGATTTAGCAATATATTGTAATTATAAATTATGCTCTAGGGACAGAGTTTTTGTCACTGAAAGATTCCCTGGGGCCCTGGGAGCCTCCTGGCTCTTTTAAGGAATTAATCAATGCTTATGCCAGGGAGGTATTGATAAAGTAGAAATTTTGGCAAGAAACCTACATTTTTTTAAGGGTAAGTAACAGGTTAATGGGGGATATGTGTGTGGAGGGGAGTTACTAGTTCCATTTACATCTCTCTCCAAGGTATACTACTGTGCTTCACAAAGTCAATGCAGGATTCTTTGCCATTGGCTAGTAGTAATAGCAATAATAAGAGTAATGTGTATTAGCATTGACTCCACACCCCTGTATGGAGCAGTGGGGTATTGTATGGTATTATATCATTATCCCTACTTCTCACATAAGAAAACTGAGGTTTTCGGAGGTCAAATAACTTATGCAAGATTGTGCATCTAGTCCCAACAGAGCCAAGATCTGTTTGTCTCCAGATCTGCATGCTCGATGCTGCTTCTGTCCTGCCTGGGAGACCGTGGGAATGAGTGCAGGTGGTTGTAGGAATGAGGACTGATATCAAGGTGGCTGGTGAGGACAGGAGGCTAAGGGAACCTACCCTTTGCCACCGAGGGGCTCCTTTGGTGGGGGCTGCCTGATTTGCTGTTGGCAGCCAGGGGCTGGGGTGCCAGTTTCCATAGGTGGTTATTGACCAGGATGTGAGCTCTGGGCTTGGCTACAGTGATTGGTTCCTTTTGTAATTTCACGATTGACCCAAAGCAGGGTGTTTTCACAGTTGTCCTAGAAGACCACCCAGGAAGTTCCTCTGGAGTAAAATGATGAAGCAGTTTGCTTCCTTAAGGGGCCTAAAAACACACACATACCGCCTTCACACCTCTTGGTGTCTTTTGTCCTAGTTTGTTTGTTTTTGTGGGTGTCTTCAAGTTCAGCTAGAACCTATGGGAATGACTTTTAGTTTTGAATATGTAAGTATGAGAAGTGAATGATTCTCTGTACTGGTTTAGAATTTCCTTTCTTCTCTTGTCCAAGGTGTAAGGTGTACAATGTGTCCAACATTTTTTTGGATGGACCAAAAGTTAGATATTCTGTAGTCTTGTCCCAGTTAAAAAAAAAAAATCCTAGGAAATTGGTTTAGGCAAATTATAACCAAATCAAGTTAATAAATATTACGATAAAATGTGCCTTAGTTACCGAAATTCTAAAATTACAATTTTGGGCTTTGGAAACGTAAGATCGGTGTTGAGAAAACAAGAGTGATAGTCTTTGTTTTGGGTCTTGGAATGGCAGGAAAAAAATATTAAGTAGGGAGTAAAGATCAGATTATCCCTTTGAAGGAGGGGTGGGTAGGTATTGGTGCAGTGTGTGTGTGTAATTTCCTAAATTCAAAATGAAATTTATAACACCTCTCAATGAACCCAAAGAATTAATTAACATGGCATAAATATGCTAGCTGGTTGGACTTTTTTCAGGGAGAGAACTAGAGAGAGACACAAATCACCTCGTAATAAAGATGTCAGAGCATCAGAAAAGTCTGTCACCATTCAAGCCCCCACCGGAGAGCCTCTGTTGGCAAATGATTCTACTCGGACAGAGGAAGTTCAGGTAAGGCTCGGGGTGGTCTGTAAGCACACCACCACTTGACCAAGACCCTTTCCATAAATGTTTTCCTAAGTCTTGTTGCAGTAGGTTCTCTTGGGTTTTTATCTTTATTTTTCTAGCATGTTAATTAGTTTATCTATGCCCCGTGGTCTCTTGTTGTTCTAAGGATAGCCTGTGCTGCCATTGGGTGGCGTGGGGATTCTTCTGACGTGTGATTGGCTGGCCTGTTCTGAAGGGTGTTGAGGACAAGCGAGCCGACAGGGCAGGGAAGGGGAAAGTTACAGGCCGGAGTCTCCGGAGACCCATTCCAAAATGGAACAGTGTAAGAGAGGGAAGCAAAACCTAAGTAGTGTTGGGAAGACCATCCAGCCCAGACAGAGCATTACTATTAGATCTGTGAAATAAATCAGGGGCTACACACTCAGGGGCCTGGTAGGGAAACATAAATGAATTTGCCCTGGGTCAAAAGAAGACACAAAACTATAAGCAGTCTTTGCAGTACCTTGGAGTCAGTACCTTGGAGTCAGTACCTTGGAGGGAAGGAGTCTGTGGCAAACTAGAGAATGCATTTCCTCTTTCCAAGGGAATTGCAGCTCCTCAGCTCCAGATAGTTAATTGCTACTCAGGAATGTAAGGATTCAGTGTTACTGGGTCTTGCAGTGTTTAAGAACAGCCTCTGGGACTTACGATTTTATGTGAAATCTTAATTTCACATAATTTTGAAACATTGGCAGTTTATTACATTTAAAAAAAAACATTGTGTGGGTTCTTCTCCAGGTCCCAACTGTCTGGCAGCCCACCTGATTTAAGTAAACATCTGAGCTATATCTAGAAACATGTTTGCACACCCTCCACACATCCTGAAATATAAGCATGTCCAGCCTTGCCCCACATAAACAAAGCAATGTATGCATACACAGCTGTAAAGATACATTACTACAGATAAGCATATATCTGTGCACACCTGGAGATACACAGATATGCGTTTATAATCAGATAGATAGAATGAAACTGCAATTCCTCAGAGCACACAAGTTGTTCTTGGGACCCAAAGCTGCAGTTGAGGGTTGAATGTGGGGTTTGTTCAACGACAAGCATATGCCTGTAGTACTGTTGTACTGCTTATCTTGGCTCTGGGAGAGCTGATCCTAGGATTAGACTACCCTTAAGTGCTTCGGGAGGTCAGTTTCCTGCTAGATGGGGATTCAGAGGTGGTGGTAGCCCAGTGGGAAGATCTTTATTTCTTTTTTTGGCTTCACCATGCCTTGTAGCTCACCAAGAGCTACACTGGGAAGCTGTTGGTATTTACCCCGGGATGATCTGGTGGGAGAAGCACTGAGATGAACATTGTAGGCTGTATTCCTCAGTAGCTGTTTCCTTGAGCAATCACAACTTTAAAGGCCCCAGTTTCTTCCTTAAAAACTTAAGGGATTAACTGGGCACGGTGGCCCACACCTGTAATCCCAGCTACTTGGGAGGTTGAGGCAGGAGCATCACTTGAGGCCAGGAGTTTGAGACCAGCCTGGGCAACATAACAAGACCTCATTTCTAAAAAAAAAATTTTTTAAAGAATATCTAGGATATTAGATTAGAGGATTTTAAAGCCTTTTCATTCTAAGCACCTCAAGTTTGAAAGGACCTTTTGCACATCTGCATTGTTTAGGCTCACATGCACAATTTCTTAAAATGGATAGGGGATCTAGTTAGCAACTCTGGCAGGAGAAAAGGTGAGTAGCTAAATTAGAGCAGTATGGTGGTCAACAAAATGAACATAGGATACTAGAAGTAGTTATTTCAGCACTGATTATCAACTGACTACTAGGCCCAGTACAAAACACAGAATCTAATATTTGTTTTCACTAAGAGTGTTACAAAAAAGTCATTTTCTGTATCCTGTGAACTTACCATATAGTAAAGCAAATTTTATACTTCAAAGAATTATATATTTCCAAGATTCAGCAATCTCACTATTGGGTATTTACCCAAAGGGAAAAAAGTCATTTTATCAAAAAGACATGTGCATTCAAATGTTTATTGCAGCACAATTCACAATCGTAAAGATGCAAAATCAAGGAAGTGCCCATAGATACATGAATGGATTAATAAAATATGATATAGTATACTATGGAGTACTATGAAGCCATAAAAATGGCAAACTAATACCTTTTGTAAGAACCTGGATGGAACTAGAGACTCTTCTAAGCGAAGTATCACAAGAATGGAAAAACAAAATCCACATGTACTCATTATTAAATTAGAGCTAAACAATCAACACCCATATGCACATATGCTAATAAAACTCAATGGAAACCAAGTAGGGGGGAGGGGGAGGAGGGAATGGGTAAATTTACACCTAATGGGTACAATGGACACTACCTTGGAGACGGCATAATTATAACTTTGACTCAAATTGCACAAAAGCAAATCATGTAATTAAAACATTTGTACCCATGCCATACACTGAAATAATAATTTAAAAAAGCAAATTGTATCTTTGAATTTATAGCTTTTTCTTCCCTTGCTGATTTTTTTTTTCATTTTAAAAAATTGACCTAAATTTACACATAGAGAAATGAACAGATCTTAAGTATACAGTTTGACGAGTTTTAACAGATGACTATACCCATATAACGTGTACCCCTATCGAGATATGTATTTCCGTCACTCCAGGAAATTCTCTTGTGCCCTTCCTCCTCAATCTCTGCCCCGCCCCCACTTCTTCTTGTGTTGATTTCTACCATTGCAGATTAGTTTTGGCTGTTTTTGAATGTAATATAATTGGAATCATACTGTTTTTACCCCTACTCAGCATAATGATTTTGAGATTTAGCCATATTTTCTGTGTAGTATTCCATTGTATGCATCCACCACAATTTGTTATCCATTTTCCTGGTGGATGGACGTTTGGGTTTCACCATTTGGGCTGTTATGAATGAAGCTGTTAAGAACATTCTTGTAGAAGTCTTTTCTTGGATATATGTTTCTGTTAACTTTGGGTAAAACCTGGGAATTGCTGGGCCATATAGTTAAGTATTACATTCAAGTTCTTATGAAACTGCCAGATCCGTTTTCCAGAAGCGCTGTACAGTTGCACACTCCCACCAGCCGTGTTTGAGGGTCCTGGCTGCTTCTCGCTATTGTCTTAAATAGTAATTTCTTTCATGGTATGTTTAGTTTGTCGTGAAAACGTGTTTTGGAAGGAATTTTTGAGCTGATCTGACCATAGATAGATTTTTAAATTTGCTTAGCTTAGTCATGGAGAAATATTGTCAAACAGTGCATGATCCTCATACTTGTTAAGTGGGTCTTGCAAACATCATATGGAGGTTTGCATAAATAGGTGTATTAGCTGCAGGTAAGCTTGTAGGTTCTCTCGCCAAGGCCTTTGCTCCTCAGGGCTACCAGAGAGTGTAGTAATACTATACATGCCCGGATGGATGAGCTCTCACTAGGCTAGTCTAACTACTGGATTGTTTATTGCAGGGCAAACAGCCACAGGCCCTCAGAGCCTCTCAGCGCTTTTCAACACAGCCAGATGATAATCAGTGTTATGTGAATGAATCACTCAAACTAAAAGATTAAATTATGTTTTCTCTATTTGAAAAGGTAAACACATAATACATTTTGGAGATTTCAATGAAACTTGTCAAAGTTAAACCGTTCCTTTTTTTAGACGCCCCTGAGTATTCATGGGTAAACCAGGCAGGCCCTCCATATCCTCTTTGCGGCTCTAACAGACGGCCTCGTTGTCTTCTCCTCACCAGGATGACAACTGGGGAGAGACCACCACCGCCATCACAGGCACCTCGGAGCACAGCATATCGCAGGAGGACATTGCCAGGATCAGCAAGGACATGGAGGACAGTGTGGGGCTGGATTGCAGGCGCTACCTGGGCCTCACCGTCGCCTCCTTTCTCGGACTTCTCGTTTTCCTCACCCCCATCGCCTTCGTGCTGTTACCCGCGATCCTGTGGAGGGATGAGCTGGAGCCTTGTGGCACAATCTGTGAGGGACTCTTCATCTCCATGGCATTCAAACTCCTCATTCTGCTCATAGGGACCTGGGCACTTTTCTTCCGGAAGCAGAGAGCTGACATGCCACGCGTGTTTGTGTTTCGTGCCCTTTTGTTGGTCCTCATCTTTCTCTTTGTGGTTTCCTATTGGCTTTTTTATGGCGTCCGAATTTTGGACTCTCGGGACCGAAATTACCAGGGCATCGTGCAATACGCAGTCTCCCTCGTGGACGCCCTCCTCTTCATCCACTACCTGGCCATCGTGCTGCTGGAGCTCAGGCAGCTGCAGCCCATGTTCACGCTGCAGGTGGTCCGCTCCACTGACGGCGAGTCCCGCTTCTACAGCTTGGGGCACCTAAGGTAAGGGGGACGTTTGGGAGACAGGAAGGATGACTGATACCTTGCCAGAGCACAGCTGCTCTTCAGTATGTGAGGGGTGCTGACAGGTGCCAGGTGCTCGGACCAGGGTCTGACTCCTTTCTGTTCTGGCTTAGGGAGCAGCTTTGTGAGTGCTGGGATGTGTGTGGGTAATGGTAGGGTGTTTGTGTGCATTGAGACTCTGGACTTCTGGATGGGGCAGGGCGGTGGCTGGCTCTCTTCTAGGTTGGGATTTTGCTGGGTCTGTTCTCAGAGTTGTTGGCAACTCTACACAAGTGATGGAGAAAGAATATGCACAGGTGATGGTGCTTGCTTTGACCCTGAAGTTGACCTCTAGCTGATTGATAAGGTGGCCAGCAGTTCCATTTTACCCAAAATGGTACATCTGATTTACCCTTTTGTCTCAGTGGAATTAAGTAATTGTTTCCTTTTTTCCTCCACTCTCAGAGGTATCCTGATTTGGGCAATAAATGATAATAGTCACCCTGGTGACCCTCCAGTAAAGAATCAAGTGCAGGTTAGAGACTCGAAATGTGTCAGGGTTGAGTGTTTTGAAAATGTATGCATAAGGAAAAAAGTTAGCAGTCAGTTGGTATGTCATACTTTATGCATAAAATCTAATTTTGCAGTTAACTGAAAGAGAGATGATCATTTATTTATGTCTACCTCAAGGTGAGCACTTTATGTAGATGGCACATTTAGTCTCCACAGAACCCTGTGACTTAGATATTATTAACCCCAATGTTACAAAAGAGAACCTGCGGATTTAAGTAATTTGCACAAAATACTGTGGCTAGCCTTGTTTAGAATTCACTCAGATGGCATGAAACCAGGACTGCGTTACGCCTCCATTATGGCTTGTCTCATTTTGTGTTTTGTGGCTTATTTTTTCATCTGTTTTCTTATATAAACTATGTGCTCCTTGAGGACAGGGGTTGTCCTCACTCCTCATGGCACCCTTGGTACCTGGCCTGGCACACAGGTGGCACTCAGCTGGCCAGTGGGTGAAGGCAGAGCTGGATGTCTAGGTGCAAAGCCTTTGCCCTCTCTGTGGATCATCTGCCTCCTGGGGCAGTAGACGCTGATGTGCGTAACCTGCTTGGTGCATGGTAGGCACTTAGTGAATTGTACCTATTACTGTGATATTGTCGCTAGCAAAGCTGCAACAATCACAAGGGCACACCTTAGTGGGTTTCAGAATAAGTGGCCTTGTCATAGTTCTGGCTGCAGTCCAGAGGGGTGGCCCGGTGCTGGTTTGGAGTCAGGCCATGCTGCCAAACCGTCTTCATGTTGGCGTGCACCCTTGTCCTTCCTCTGGCTCAGCTGCTACCACCTGAGGACTGAATGATTCAATGTCAAGGTTGCTACTGCCCTAGCTGATCCATGGAGGGGATCGGTGTCCAATTCCCATGTCTGCACAGGGAAATCTGGCATTTCACATGGTTCACAGATTCCTATAGGGCTCTGAAGGGAAGTTGGTACCTACTGTGTATTCATCTAAGACAGCTTTCTTCCCCATGTTCTACATTGGGGAGTGACCAGCAGACGCATATTAAATATCTGCTAAGTGCGAGCCCAGGACTCGGGGCTCTAGCAACGCAAGGATGGCTGCCTGCAAAGCTTGGTCTTCGAACCTGGGAGCTCACAGTCACTTGGGGAGAGACCAGTGCACTGCTGTATAGCAGACAGATGCTGAAACAGGCCTGGGTGCTGGTGATAGGAACACAGAATGAGACTTCAGACCGTGGCAGCTATAAAGCCCAGCAGGAGATGGTCTGTCTCAGAGCTCCTCCCTCTAAGACTGGTAAAGTTGCATACTAGCTGGAGTGGGGGCAGGGAGGGGGGCAAACCAAACAGCCTGAGGAAAGTTGCCTGTGGTGTGTTCAGAAACGTAATTAGCAGCAGCCCTGGTGTCTCACCACATAGCTATGCTGCTCGGGGTAGAACTGGGTGGGCAAGGCCAGGCTGATTGTGCTGCACAGCTCACAGGATTGCTGTAGACCTTATCCGTCCTCGCTGTGATCAACAGCTGCTCAGTCTTTACATCCTAAAACTGAAGCCAGTGACCCCACCTCCCCAGGGAGACCCAGAGGGTGGCAAGTGTCCAGCAGCCCTGGGGGAGATGGTTCTGAGGTGGTCCCCAGCCTCTTCCTTTCAGCTCCTCTTCAGGGCCGTTTGTTTCCTCCTCTCCCTGCCTTTAATAAGGCCCCCTTTTCCCTCACATGCAGCCCCTGGGTCATGGGGTGAGAGAATGGCTGGGCAAGGAGACATCTCTGCTTACAGAGAAAGCCCTCAGGCAGGGCCGGATGCCCGTCTGACAGCCGGTCTGCTGGAGCCAGAGCAGGCCGGGCATCTCTCCCTGCTGGCATTGTGCGGGCCCGGTCACCCGCCGATCCCAGGGCTAAATCTGGTCTGAACCCAGCGGTGGCTGGAAGAGTCACTGGGCCAGAAATATAACTTCTAAGCCCTTTTGTAAAGCGTGGAAACAGACAAGAGGGAAGAGAGAGGCGGGGTTAGACAAAATGAGTCTCGGAGATCAGAATAGCAGGTCTCCATCAGACCCAGCCAGAATCACAGGCCGTTGCTCGCCCTTTATGCAAAGCCTGCGCCGTAGCAGCAACCTGTCGGGCTTAGGCACGGAGCGCTGGTGAATTCTTTTTTCTGTTTTCAAAGATGATTTTATTGAATCGACTGAGCTATTTTTGAGAGTTGTCAAAAGAGTCAAAAGAATGCCTACTTTTTAGTTTCTTAAAGAAAATAGGCTTCTCGTTAGCCCTCATAAAAGGCACTTGCTGTGGCCCTGCTTGTTGGCAGGAACAGGGGTCTGGGGCTTATTTCAAAACTTTCAGAAATGTAAAAGGTTATTGTCATTGAAAGTGAGATGCCACAAATACACCAAAACCTTTGCCCAGTGCTTTAGGAGTTACAGAGGGTCTTTCCTAGGTTTGGGCTCATTTGCCCTCCCTGCCGCCCTGTCAGGGGTCAATGCACGTCAGGTAGTGGTGTCCCCTCATACAGTTGAGGGCCCAGAGCCACAGGTCACAAGGGACCTGCTCAAGGTCACAAGGAGCCAGTGCCTTCCTTTGTATCATACCCCTTGCCCTCTCCACAGCATCCTGGGGTCTTGGCACCGTCGGTTTGTGACTCTCTTTGCACTCCCCACTGGCCCTGTCTCTCAGTGAGTTGCTAACTTTTCCAGAGTTTCACCAGAGACTGGCAACTTTTGATCTGACTGTATTTGAGGAGTAACCCAGAAGAATAGAAGAGACTAAAAATGACATTTAGCTATCCTGATTAATAGTTTCTCACTTTTGAAATCTTTAAAGGGAAGTTCTGTGAATATGGGCACATAGATGCTAGTATAATTGATTAGGTCTGAGATGTAGAACAACAAAGAAACCCTTGACTATTAACAGTTACATGGTCCTTATTTTGTGCCTTCTAGGCTATTAACATGCAACTCCATCTTCACGACAATCCTGTGAGATAGGTACTGATATTCTCCTTTTCAAATGAGGAAACTGAGGCACAGGAGAGTTAAGTAAGTTGTCTAAGGCCTCATGTGGTTTGTAATTGTGGGAGCCAGGATTGGAGCCCAGGTTCTCTGGTTCCAGAATGACCTTAACCATTTTACCATTATTCACCGCCTGTCATTGGAGGATTATGTTCATGTCACTGCTTTAAGAACACATGAACAAATTGACAAGCAGTTTTTGAGTGCTTACCATGTGCCAGGCTGGATGTTGGCTGCGTGCATTTCCACATTTCATTTAAAGCATAGCTTCAGAGCTGGAACAGACAGAATGCAGAGGATTGTCAGAGACGGCTTAGACTCTGAGGCCCGTTCCTGAGCTCCGTTAGTTATTTTACTCACTCAGTCGACCGAGCTTGGTCCTTATAACCACAGCGGTAGGTTCGAGCCTTTGGTCAGTACCTTGTGTATTCCACACGTCTCAAAGAAGATGTCTTTTATCTATGGTTGTGTAACATCTACCAGAAAACTTAGTAGATTAAAACAACAGCCATTTTGGTATTTCTCACACATCTGCACTATTTTTGCTGGCCTTGCCCGTGGTCCCTGTGTGATTACGCTCACAGCTGGGGCTGGGCTCTTCTCTCTTCTCATGTACTCTGAGGTCCTTTCCTTCTCTGCATGGCCCCTCCTAAGTATTTCGTCACTAGGGTGGCTAGACTTCTTAAATGGCAGCTCAGGGCGCCAAAGAGCACAAAAGCAGAAGCTGCCAGGCCTTTTAAGGCCCGGGCCTGCAACAGGCCCAGTGTTACCTTGCTGCATTCCCCTGATGGAAGCAAGCCCCAGCCCCATTGAGAGAGTGAGGACAACCAGGCGGAGAACATGCGGGAAGCTCAGCTCAGCGCAGCACACTCCCACGGCCAGGACGGGCTCTCGTCCTCAGAGTCTGGTTATTCTCACTTTGTGTGTGGTTCTAACAGATTTACTTATTGATTTCTCTGTGTTAAAAAAGTCCAGAAGTAACATATTTTGAGTCAGGAGGAGGAGGGAAGAGCCGCTTTAAAGAGACACGTGACAGTCAGTGAAAATAATGATTGGTAGTTACCCAGACAGAAACCACGAGAACAGATGCAGCACTCAGCACTCTGGGGAACTTCTACTCACAGCGGCCATTCTGTAGGATATTCATATTGCTGAAGTTCCCTTGTACCTGATTTGGCCAGCAGATTTTAATTGTTTGGTAACTGATCACAGAACCAACCACCTATGCTTTTGAAGAAATGATTCTTGCATTGCTTTTCAAACGGTGGAAGCTTATGATTGTCCTGTTATTGTTGAAAGGAACTGTCATGGACTGAATGTTTGTGTTTCCCCCAAATTCATATGTTGAAGCTCTAAGCCCCAGTGTGGCTATATTTGGTGATGGGGCCTCTTAGGAAGTAACTGAGGTTAAATGAGGTCGTAAGGTGGGGCTCTGATCCCATAGGACCGGTGTCCTTATAGGAAGAGA